CCAGGGTGCCAGCTTCTGACACCACTCCTTACCCTTCTTGTGGCTCCGGGTGTGGGGCACCCACACTGAGTGAACTTGGGTGTGGGGCGCCCACACGCAGGTAACAGGTGTGGGCTGGGCCACTTGTGGCTACGTTACGACCAGGTGTGGCCACTATTCATGGCCATTTAGAGTAGGGGCCCCCCTCCCTCCCCACCTCTCACCAGGACACCCCCAACCTCTCACCAGGACACCCCCACCTCTCACCAGGACACCCCCACCTCTCACCAGGACACCCCCCACCTCTCGCCAGGACACCCCCCACCTCTCGCCAGGACACCCCCCACCTCTCACCAGGACACCTCCACCTCTCACCAGGGCACCCCCCCACCTCTCACTAGGATGCTCCCTGCCTCTCTCCAGGACACACCCACCTCTCACCGGACACCCCCAACTAATCAGGACACCCTTACCTCATCAGGACCCCCTCTCACTAGGACACTCCACCTCACCAGGACACCCCCCACCTCTCTCCAGGACACCCCCACCTCTCGGCAGGACACACCCACCAATCAGGACACCCTTACCTCATCAGGACACCCTCTTTCACCAAGACACTCTACCTCACCAGGGCATCCCCACCTCTCACCAGGGCACCCCCACCTCTCACCAGGGCACCCCCACCTCTCACCAGGGCACCCCCACCTCTCACTAGGACACCCCTCACCTCTCCCCTCCCCACTTCACCCTAGCATACTCTTGCCTCTTCAGGTCACAAATAACCCACAATTTAAGAGAGGAGAGCTTGAACAGCGTTTCTCTTCGACCATATTTCCAACTAACTTGATGATGGTTCAGGAGTGACCGAAAGAGCATGTAAAGTTAACTCACTAAGTCACAAAGAACGCGTCTGGGGTTGGAACTCACGGCAGACGAGTCCAGTGGTTAGCGCACTGGCCTGTGAGGTTCAGGACTCGCCTATCACGGGTTCGAATCCTGCAAGTCCACTGATTGATATATAAAATTACCTTTTAAAGTGTGTAGTTATTTGTGGACACTTTCAACCACTTGTTACCACTTCTTATTTCTTTCTCTCTCTCTCTCTCTCTCTCTCTCTCTCTCTCTCTCTCTCTCTCTCTCTCTCTCTCTCTCTCTCTCTCTCTCTCTCTCTCTCTCTCTCTCCATTTTCTGCTGCCCGTGAAGTTTTTTTTTATCCCTTATCCTCTCTCTTTCTCTCTTCTTATCAGCTGTTTCTTCCTATTTCTAAGCTTCTAGTTTTAAGGCTGAGCCGCTAGTTTGTAAGTTCTTGATAACCTCTTAATTCTCTAACTTGTACCTTTTAGTTCCTAAACCTTGGCTCCTACTTCCTACGCCATCCTCTAGCACCTAGCACCATCCTCTAGAACCGTTCTCTAGTGCCATCCTCTAGCACCTAGTGCCATCCTCTAGCACCTAGTGCCATCCTCTAGCACCTAGCCCCATCCTCTAGTACCGTTCTCTAGCACCTAGTGCCATCCTCTAGCACCTAGTGCCATCCTTTAGCACCTAGTACCATCCTCTAGCACCTAGCCCCATCCTCTAGCACCTAGCTCCTATCACCTAGCTACTGTCTCCTCTAGCACCTAGCTTATAGCACGTATAACCTAGCTCCTATCACCTAGCTCCTAACCTCTGTCACCTAGCTTATATCCTCACATCACCTACCTCCTAGCTTCTCTCACCTAGCTACTATCTTTGTCACTAGCACCTAGCCTCTATCACCTAACTACTATCTTCAAGTTCACAGCTCCTATCACCTAGCTCCTCTTACCTGCCTCTTAGCTCTTATCACCTACCTCCTATCACCTAGCCCCTACCTCCTCTTACCTACTTCCAAGCTCCTTTCACTTAGCTCCTAGCCCCTATCACCTGACCCTAGCGCCTATCACCTAGCTCCTAGCGACTATAACCTAGCCCCTAGCCCAAAGCTCCAATCACCTAGCCCCTAGTTCCTATCACCTAGCCCCTAGTTCCTATCACCTAGCCCCTACTTCCTATCACCTAGCCCCTAGCTCCTATCACCTAGCCCCTAGTTCCTATCACCTAGCCCCTAGTTCCTATCACCTAGCCCCTAGTTCCTATCACCTAGCCCCTAGCTCCTAGCTCTAGCTCCTAGCCCCTAGCTCCTAGCCCTAGCTCCTAGCCCTAGCTCTTAGCCCCTAGCTCTTAGCCCCTAGCTCCTAGACCCGGCGCCTCTCTATAGCATTAGCCATATGTGACACTGAAGATAATTGTATTTACAGGGAAGCGGCAAACCCGCAGGGGGGCCACAACGCCAGGTGGGGGATGGGAGGTGGTCAGTTTTTGATCCGAGGAAGAGGAGGGTTTAGCACCAGCTCCTGGGACCAGGAGATAACAGACATTAAGTGAGATCTTCCTTGCTTAAGGTAATTGGTGCTCTGATCCCTCGGATCAGACCTGACTAATTTCCCCTCCCCCCAAGTCTTCAT